GGTTGCCAGATGGCCTTTTGTCCGCGGACAAAAAAGGCCTATAACTCAATATATACCAGTATATTTGCAGGTTCCGGTATAAAAATTCTTTTTTCCTTTTTTTCGCACTTTTTAAAATTAATGAGGAAGTACCACTATCAATACTCTTCTGTGTTATTACCTCAGCCGGTTATCGTTGCCTCAACAACGCTGCCGAGGGATGCGGTACGGTATCGCCGTACCAAATTGTCACGGCATATACTGCTGCGCTGTAAAAAAACCCTCAAAAGTTTATCAATAAAGGCATACGAAAAATTCTATCTACAAATTATATTTTACAGCCGCATTCACGGACTTTCGAAGTCCGCGCTACGCTACCAAAGCAGAACTGAAATGAATTTGAAATGCCTAGCTCCTTATCGAAACCGGTGGAAGTCTAGTAGCTACTTCAAACTATCGTCAGTCATGAAAAGATCCGGTCAAATGACACGATTTTAGATCTTCTGTGAACAAGGCACGAAAAAAGGAAAAGAATCGGCGACAGGCCACATCAGGCCTACGCTTCAGCGCCGACATCACTATGTTATGTTATGTTATGTTATGTTAACTGCGTGTATAGATTCGAGACAACAGCGAGTATTGTGTAACTGAGGACAACGGTGGAGAGGATGAGTGGGGTAGGTGAGGGTTGAGAAGCCACGAAGCCTACGAAGTGCACACACAAACGTTCCTACGAAGTGTAAACACGCAAACATGCGCAACTATAGGGTGGAACGTTTTAGACTATAGGCTGATTCCTTCATGAACCGAGGGATTCATTCATAGCATGATCCAAAGCTCCAGAAATTCGGACATACATGAGCCTGTTTATTGAGTTGGTGAAAGAATTTATGCAGGATTAACCAAGAAGCACTGCATACGCGGGTAATTTGTCGGTGGGATTTTCCTAACCACAGACTACACAGGAATTCGAGCGGGAAGGATGTCTCTTCCCCTCTCAAAGCTCACCCTCATCCAATTCCCTACCCACCCAAATTGTAAACAATCATCTTTGTTTTAAACCTAACAGCCGACAACAGTGTGAGGCTGTGAGATTTATACCACTACCACTCCGACAAAACAACATAAAAAATCTACAGTAATAATCAATAGCAGTACGGCCACGGTTATCATCAATAGCACTACGGTCACGCTCATCATCAATAGCGGTACAGTCACGGTCATTATAGTCAGTAGCGATACGGTGACGGTCATAGTCAGTAGCGGTACGGTCACGGTCATCATCAGTAGCGGTATGGTCACGGTCATCATCAGTAGCGGTACGGTCACGGTCATCATCAATAGCAGTACGGTCACGAACATCATCAGCAGATTTACGACAAGCGAGTTCGGACGAGGCATAATCGTAAGTGAAGGCGGAGCCACCATTCCGAAGAACGGTTGTTATAAATTGAACGATTCGACATTTGACATCTTTATTATCAATGTTGAGACAACAGCTATAAAGACAGAGCTGCCGAGAAAGGCAACCGCGGAGATGCATGGCGACCGCTGTAGTACGGTTTCTGTCAACAAATACGGCCGCGAAGCTTTCACGTAAGGAACGGTCTTTTAGGACAGTCTTACTACTCAACGGAAATGAGCATCGGATTAACATTTCTGCTAAAGCTAAATAAGAAATTCGAGTGATTTAAACTGATGGATTTCCAACTTTGATTGTATTACCCTTTTCCTGTGCTAGAGATTTTGTTTTACTAGAGATTGAAAATTTGCATATCAACATGAACGCTCATTTGATTGCATTGTTGTTTGAATTGTGTTGTTTATGCATTCGTTTGCTTTATATTTTGAAACGCAATTAAGATTATTTCTCCGTAATCATCGTAACGTATGCCATTTATTTACGACCAGCTTAACAATATTTACATATTATTGACTATGCATGCAAACATGTATTGTCAGTCTTGGCCTTTTAAAAGTCACACCAGCACCAGACAAGCACTTTGAAAGCTGAGTGGACTGCAAAGTGTGTGGCGGGGGGGAGAGGGAGGATGTTTACCACGGACCCAGAGAAGATTTATTACAATAGGACAGACCTGCCTTTCCTGCAAAGTACGACAACGGAGGGGCAAATCTCGATTAAATCTACGGAAAATTCACGGACCTCTTGTTAAAAACGAATATAACTACCACCAGAAAAATGATTCAGAAATGCTTGGTATAGCGATCAATGAAGAATAACGAGTTAAACAAACTGGTATAGCGAAAATGTTAGAAAAGTCGCTCGTTTTACGATCCTCATGGTTCAAAATTTTCGTTAGCAATAACACTGGTAATATAAAGTTTACATAATTTATCTTAATGTCCACAGATTGAAAATAATTAGCCAGGATAGCATTCCAAATTTCAGATTTTTATCTTATTTATGAGGAGAGTTATCTGTCGAATTCATAGTTAAGAATCTCCATAGACGACTACCGCGGCTGAGCGCGTTGATGCAGTCTTAAGTGCGCTATAGGAATAAACAAGTAAAAAGAAATGCCACATGGTTCTTCATAAAACCGTGTCAAGTTCCTGATGGACAATGTGGTACCAGGCGTGTGGTACCTGACGTGTGTGTGGTACCAGGCGTGTGGTACCTGACGTGTGTGTGGCACCTGACGTGTGTGTGGCACCTGACGTGTGTGTGGTACCTGACGTATGTGTGGTACCAGGCGCGTGGTGCCTGACGTGTGTGTGGTACCTGGCGTGCTACCTGACGTGTGTGTGGCACCTGACGTGTGTGTGGTACCTGACTTATGTGTGGTACCTGACTTATGTGTGGTACCTGACTTATGTGTGGTACCAGGCGCGTGGTGCCTGCCGTGTGGTCAATTGACAATTGACCAGGCTTGTGGTCAATTATGGTACCAGGCATGTGGTCAATTGTGGTACCAGGCGTGTGGTCAATTATGGTACCAGGCGTGTGGTACCAGGCGCGTGGTGCCCGACATGTGGCCAATTGAAAATTGACCAGGCGTGTGGTCAATTGTGGTACCAAGCGTGTGGTTTCCACATTCAATTGAATCGGATGAAAATCGTCGTGCATCTCATATAAGAGGTAGAACTGTTGGGCCCTGCAGCCTCATCAATGGCTCGAGTCGCTTCTTGTGCAGCCGCCTGACGCGGGTTGTGGTCGTAAAGGGGAAGTTCATCGCCTAACAGATGCGAACGAAATGTGCGGTACATGATAGTTCGATTTTATTGATCAGAGGTTGCAGAGTGTCAATGCTGAAGTAATTATCATTAAACACGATGAATAGAATAAACTTGTTCCACATCTCAAGTTACTTCTAATTGAAGTTACAACCTCAAAGTTACACAGTTCAGAACGCAGAGAGTTATTTCCAGCAGCGTAGACTTCAGTCCTCTCCACAGGACCATTATTTATTTTTATTATCATCTCAATCGAAGGCCGCGGTCGACATTGTTGTGCATGGGAGCGAAAATAAAATAATTTTATTTATTTCTTGTGCGATTTTTCAGGTAATCATTGCACGTGTATAGAACAATTTCAATAGACAACGAACTGGATGACAAATTATGAAATTCAAGGCTCTTTCACCCGCTATTCAATATAAAATATAATAGCAATTTCAGCTTTTACCAGGCCGTAGGCCTGTCACCGATTCTTAACATCGCAGAATATTCACAGCTTGTTGCGGTCTCGAACGCGCAACTCACTGCTTCAATTTTGCTTTGCCTTACCGCCAGCCCTCCTTGCCGATTCTGACCAAAAACGCGCACAGAGCTGGGATCGAACCCGCACCTCTCTGCTCCAATCTTCGAACTCTGAACTGTAACCACTGGGCCACCCGAAGGAATGTTTCCGAACGGATTACCAAGTGAGCATTGGACGCTCGCTGAGTTAGACATTATGCAGCTTAAATGTGGCAGACTCGGTAACAGATTTTAGTGTTACGGTTATAGCAATAAACAGTCGGCTATAATGGTAGTCAAGCTGCTGAGTTGGTTGTTGAGTAACACTTGCAGAATTTGCTAGCAATACTTTATTAAAGTTATAATGACTTACAAACTCCATTAAAAAAACAAACCCACGTCAAAATTTTCAGCACAAAAAAGGCAGACATACAGTATTGCATAACCGAGGGATTACAATTTAATCCTTCGGTTACGATGATTTAATCATCAAATCATCGTATCTCAATTACGAGGCAAGAGCTCCGTTGGCCTTTTTGGTGAGCAAGCTTTCGCCGCTGCAACCATTCAGGCATTTGAGACTTTATAAGAGACGCATGTGAACAAATAGATTACGAAAACTTTTTCCTTGTTTTCCTATATGTTAAGATATCCGAGAAGCGTTGCTGTGTCCCTGCATGCGGCAAAAACGATGCCAAGAGAGCCACGCACTACGGTACTACGGCTGACTTCGCCAACAGGGATGCGTAAGTTTTACTGCCGTTGCCTATTATTTAATTATGAATCCTCAATTTCAGAGCTATCAAAAAAACACCACTTAGTACAGTACAGAGAAGACTTGATACAATAGCAAGGGAATACTGGATAAACGTTTTATGTGTCACTATACGAGTACTAAGAATTTAAAAGCAAAGAAAAGTCCACAAAAATTCATATCTTTATAGAAAACGTTTCGGCGACCAGCTCCATCGTCAGTTCGTAGAATCAATTAGGGTGATAGCTTCCACCTCCGGGACTTCCGATTTGCGCATTTTAGAATCACTGTACATCTTTAAACTTAGGCCCAGTTTGAATTCAGCTGCTAGCTCCTATCCCCTTGAAATTGTTAATAGATAGTTCTTTTTTTTTTGCTCCGTCTATTACTTGTAAATTTAGGTTTTTAATTTCGTTCTGTGCTTTCATTTCAATGTATTAATTTGTGACTTCTGATTTGCGATTCTAGATTCTACGAACTGACGATGGAGCTGGTCTCCGAAACGTTTTCTATAAAGATATGAATTTTTGTGGACTTTTCTTTGCTTTTAAATTCTTAGTTAATTTGCGATTTAAGCAAACAAGTGATATAAATTCATTATACGAGTACATGTTGCACGTTCTAGTGCGCGGTGCTGCTAGTTCTCAGGAGCGTTGCTGTGCATGGCTTTCTATCATCAATCATCAAGTTTAACAATAAAAACAACTCCACATAGTATAAATTCAGTACAAATAAGACCTATTAAGTGGCAGGAAATATTGAAAAGGCGTTTTATGTGCCACAATCGGGGTCAAGGTTTCGGTTGTAACTGGATGGATCTAAACTACCACGCAATATGCAACTCTGCTTAACTCTGCTAATTTACGGGTAATTATATTGAAGATGGTACAATAGTTTTGTGCGAGGTTGACGATTTGAAGAAATAATATGAACTATGACGTTGCAATTAAACATATATCTAATAAGCAATTCTGAAGCTGCTTCCGGTACCACTTTTCAATATAGCCTCATTCAGCTAAACTTCCACCGTCCCATCCTATTGCTCCAGCTCATGGTGCTCCAGGTTGTCATGCTCCAGGTCGGTATGCTCCAGGTTGTCGTCCTCCAGCTTGGTATGCTCCAGGTTGTCATCCTCCAGTTTGGAATGCTCCAAGTTGTTTTCCTCTAGGTTGAAATGCTCCATGGGCTCAGCACCTTCTGGACTCGAGGTCGGATTTGCGCCCCTGAAGACGTTGTCGGTGAGGCAGCCTTTGGCCACCGACCTGATCGAGTTGTCCGGGATGCCCAACTGGGATACCTGTGGAGTGAGAAAATATTCAAGCCTACAATTGGATTGAACTTTTGCAAGTTAGCCGCAATTATTCCAACGCTTGTGGTCACGTTGATCTAAATAATCGAACCAGTTCTTTTCCAGGCATGCATGACCTAACTCAATCTAAGATCAACCAAGAAGATCCAATATGAAATGAAAAACTATGTTATAGAAGCAGTAATACAGCTAGAATGCAAACCCTGTTCGCATTGCCAGTTTACGTCATCCATTAATCTTCAGAAGATATAATTTCCCCTCTCGGTTGGTTACGAAATAATTTTCGGGTTGGACTTCTCAAGGGTAAACTAGACGGCATTCATCACCTAGTTAGCTGGGAACTAACGTTTACTAGTATTTTGCAAGTACTCATGAAAACGCTGCCGAGACTGACGTTCGAACATTGAACAACAGCAAAAATAGGAAGATAACTAAACTCAAAATCAAACTTCTTCAACCTCAAAATTAATTTAATAGCATAGAAAATAATATCATGACGACTTTATTTATATAGGAGCATTTAGATATATTTAAATTAACCTAATAAATAGCATATGAATATATTTCATACGAATTTTCGATCTCAAATACAGTTTGCAAACGAGCGGCTCACCGGGTAAACGTACGAATGGCGAATTTGAATGTCACCGCTCGAGTGTAAATATGTCGGGTAGAAGCACACGGCCGCTCCTGTGAACTGCAGGCCCCTGTGAAGAACAGTATTTCAAGATATCAGTAAAAGTAATCAAGTTATCGGTCTTTAGTGCGAGGGACTGCTGTAGGTTTTCGAGGTCGATACGCCTCGAGCTCATTTTTCCTTTTTAAACGTATATATAAAATAAGGGAAAATTAAATTTTTCATTAAATACATCAAAAGGAAAACGAAAAAAATACAAATTTCTACAAATCACCTTTTTGAGCCACAGCGTCGAGGTCGCCAGCGGTCGATGACAACGTCACTAACAAATAATATGGTACTAAGCAATTTAAGAACAGTTATATCAGCGGCTCCGAATTACCCTTGTAAAAATTTTCGAATATAATAAACTACCTAAAGCAGAACGCATGAGATATTGTTAAACCTTCACTACCGCCGCAAATTGATGAATTAGCCAGGAAATAATTGATCTGATTTCGAGAGCCTAGTAATTGATCTGATTTTTCCTATAAGGATCCACTGCTTCCTGGGACTATGGAGGCAAGGAGGTCCTGCCTATACCGAGTGCAGAGGGCGGCAGAATACTAAAGGCCCGTTTACATTAGAGGCAACACACGGGCGTCAAGGGCCTCACCGCCCCTCTGTGAGGCGTCTACGTGCGCTTCTTGTGGGCAACGAAGCGATTAATTGACGAGCTAGCGATTCACAGTCGCCCTGCCAGACAAGCGCTGGGCAGAGCGCTGCTCAGCAGTCAGCTGCAGCGTTGCCAGATGGTATATTTCTATACCAGATTTCACAAATCTGGTATTTTCAGAAGGTGTCTGGTATGAACATTTTAGATCTGGTATATTTGCCTAAATCTGGTATTTTTCTGGTATTTTCTGACTTACTGCAAATTTACTGCATTAAGTTCCACCTCTGAAGTTTGAATTTCCTCCAACGTAGGCGTTGATTATATAGATTAACATCAGAGTGGCGCGACTAGAGGTTTCCCGCCATTTTTTGGAACCGCAAGTTTACCGCTTGATAAAATAACCCCGATTTAATTGTTAGCATTTAACAAAAGTGCTTAGTGTAATATGAGCATGAGAGTGATGATCCTCGGTTGATTACTGATCAGTGATGAACTGATGATATGGCCTAGGACGAGTGAGGTTGTCGAACCGTTCTCTGCAACGCAAGCTCCATCATTTTTGTTTGGTGGTTTTGAATTCTAAAGTGCCACTTGAATTCTGGGGTGCCATTCAATATTTCACTGATCTTGACAATTATCATCCATTCAGGGAACTGGCTGCCTACTGCATCACTTGTCTACTTTGACCTGTCTCCAAAGCATTCGTGGTGCAAGTGTTTTCACAAGTCACTTATGTGAAAAACGAGCAACAAAATAAAATTTCAACAAAGGTACTGGAGTTCCTTATTCGGACCAAAAGCTATCTGCTCAACCGCAACAAGTGATAACACTCGAAATGTTAGATTAATGCAATGTGCAAGCATGTACGAAAATAAGCAAAATGAAGATGACCTGTTTCCGCGGCTTGTTCATGTTGAGCGAAGAGGAAAAAGTGCCACAATGACACTGATAAAAAAAGGAAAAAGTGTCAATGTAATCAAACACAGGAAAAGAAAAGTGTCAAAATGTTCCAGAGGGGGAAAAAAATATAACGTGTTCAATTTGGCTAATTATCGTCAAGCCAGACAACTGCACAGTACATAAGTTAATTTTTTTCTAACCAACGTTTCTGACGAATAGTTTCATTAAATTTTGAGGTATTAGTCTGTTTTTGAACGATAGAATTTCTGGTATATTTCTGGTATTTTGAGCTAGGCAATCTGGTATTCTCGCCAGGAAAAAACCTGGCAACACTGGTCAGCTGCACTCAGTAGACGGCTGTCTGTGGTCTAGCGAGGGAGTCTGTACACGCTGGTCCTTCAAAACGTCAACTAACTCTACACTTGTTTGGACTCACTCTCTTGTAAGGCTAATTGATCTTTGTAGAGACTATGAATGCCTGTAAAGAGTTCGGTCAAAGGAATATAAAAGTCGAAATGCAAAAGAACAAGCACTGGTGGAAATAGTTAGAAGTTGTAAGAAACTTTTGTGTTCAAGTCACCATCGATGAGGTTCGCAAGAAAATTCATACGTTCCATCTTGAAATGAATTTCATTGCATATGAGTTTTCATCTCAATTCCATCATCCTGCTTCTCGATGAGTGGCATTATTTTACAGATGTAGGCGACGCCTACATCTTTTCTTAACATCAGCACACCCGAGAACAATGGCCCAGAGCTTAAATTCCGATACATCCATCCTCACTGACGTCTAACTGGTAACTAATCTACAGAGCGCGCGGTCTCGAGCTCCCGCGTACAAAAATGAGGGTGAATGGTTGTGTGCGGTGTGCTGCAGCAAGCGCCTCACCGCCCATGTTGTTGCCCCTAGTGTAAACGGACCTTAAAGACGGCGGCCCAGCAAGGCCGGGGAATGCCAAGTCCGAGACGCTTACCAATGACACAATTTTCATTTTGTATTAATGAGGACGAGGTGACGTTGGCTGCTGCATCACGTACGTGTAGAAGGTCCACGGGGACTGTCCATGTATGATAATAGAAGTTGTCCTCATGTCCATGTAACCAACGGTCTCTGCGTCCGTGTTGCTCCGGAACTCATCCCCCGAGTAGGCCCAGCCGTCGTACAGGTTGTAGTACACGTCGTCGATGCCGTACGGACTGCCGGCGTACCGCAGTGAAGATGCCTGCGGAAGTGAGGTCTCAAGTTAACAAATGGTTCCTCAATTATTGTATAAGCTTTACAAATGTTAAACCTGTAAAAGCGAAAACACATATGTATCTAAAATATCATCTAGTTCTTATTTCATTATGGGAGATGAAATCAGGGGTTCTATCCTCAGTTAAACATAATTTTCTTTTTTATGTTGTACATTCAATATTAAAAACGAGCTGATTAAAAAAAAAATAGATTACATTTTGCTCAGAATGAAAGTTACCTAATATTATTTCGAGCTTCAGTCAAACCACTTATAAAGTGGTTATTTTATAAAAGTTCAAAACAGCTTTATGCAAAAATTATTGCATGTACATCCATGGTATTTGCTTTGTTGAGCACGTCTTGTTTGTAGCTTTTAAACGAGAGCAAACACTGTGCAATTAGCGCGAATAATAATCTATTAATGCAAATATAATTTAAAGAAATCTCTGTGCATATTGTTAAAAAATGCTCATTTATATATTTTTTAAATTGCTTTATGCAAAGAAAACTAGAGCACGCACATACATGCGGTTTTCTGCGTTAGACGCGCCTTTTCAGCAGCTGCAAAATGAGTAAAGGAAACGGAAAAGTCAAATATATCGATTTTTCCACCCAGACGCTCCCCTTAACAAAAGGATCCTCAATTATTATACAGGTGCTACTCATGTTAACCCTGTCAGAGCGAAGATTTATCTGTGTAAAGTATCATATAATTCTTATTTCATCATGGGAGATAAAATCAGGGCTCTATCCTCAGTTAAATTTATTTTCCTTTTTATGCTATACATTCTATATTAACAATGAACGGATTTTATGTATAGATTACATTTCGATCAGAATCGAAGTTACCTAACATTATTTTGATAATTTCGAGCTTCAGTCAAATTTAAAGATCAATCTTCATAATACAGAGTAGTGTTATAATATGTCAAAAAATAAGATTGAGAACCGTTAAGCTCTATATGATTCCACCACTTTCATAAACATTAGACCAACCATTTACAACTTTTTAAGTTGAAGCATTTCCAGTATGAACATATCCACGTTATGAGACTCACATTCCCAGCGAGGGGAGAAACGAGGTTGTAGCAAACGTTGATTCCGCTGCGATGGACATACGTCCCTCCTAAAACTTCGAAATTGTAGAAGTTGTCAGCGTACAGGATCCAGCTGCGGGATAACCATTTGCTGATCAACTAACGAACTTCATTTCATTTAAAGTTATCTATTTTCATTGAAAGTATACAACTATACATCAATCTCGATATTTTTCCTTAAAATCGATTAGTAATCAAAATTTTTTGGTTTTAACTCGTGTTTTAAACAGAAGCAATTTTTTTGTCACATGCAATCGGGTGTTTCCTACATGTCTAATTTCTGGGGGCGCAGCCGTAGGCCACAAATTTGACTCTTAAATAAGCCCTGGAGCCTACGCCTAGCTTCACCATGCATTAACTTTACTCAGCCTCAGAACAAGAAGCCGCAGACTACGCTTGAACTCCGTAATCCAGACAAGCGACACACTGCCGAAAGATAATAGCGCCGCAGGTTTTTAGCCAATACTTAATTAAGCAAGCTCGCTTTTAAGGCCCTGATTGAAAGCCGAGAGGCTTCGAACAGGCTCGGCTCTTCCCTAAGCGTTTCTTCACTAATTAGGATAGACTTTACTCCACTCGCAAATGAGATGGCGATATGGATTTTTCCATACTTACCCAGCTATTTATTTATAAGCGTCGACCAGTAATAAAAAATATGTAAACTTTGTATTAAAAGAGTTTTAATGAGAGGAAATTTCAAGAAACTTTGAATATTATTGTTCATCATGTCTGCGACTTCTACACTTTTTTCGATATATAAACGGGTTGTAATTTTTATTGTCAATTGAATGGTATATTCGGCATTCCTTGATCAGCTTCCTTGTTATAGATATTTTTTACCAAAAAATATTTATGATCGAGTCTGCTGATACGCGGAGGGAAAATCCCGCATACTAGCTGCTCAAATGGAGACGTTGTGCAATGTTTGAGGGGAAAAAGACGTCGTAAATTACTCAACTGTCAGTTCACGACGGGTGGCATGGTAAAGGCGAAGTCAATGAGGGGCGAAGAATAATACGTGGCCAGTGGTCGGCCTATCCAATTAGTTATAGCCGACCGTTGGCCATTCCTCGGCCACCTGAAAGCGACCAGTTACCGCAAAGAAGGGTCTGGCTAGGATATCATATTACAAAGAGTACAAGCTCGAGGGTAGCGGCTGGCCGAGCTTTGGGCAGATCAAGAATTTTACACGATGGTCGCGAAAACCTCGCTCTCAAACTTCGCTGCATTTTGACTACAAGCCTCAAGCTGTCAGTTCCCCTGTCCGGCTGTACCTACTCCGGCCTAACATATTCACGCTGTCTCGGCTCAACCGTCTTGCAGCCAATGACTGGCTTTACCAGCACACTTGGACCGCCTTGCTAACTTCTTGCAGCCAATGAGGTTAGGTTAGGTCCGCTCAGGTTTGTTTTGGGTGGAGAGAGGTTGCAGCTCGTATAGATTAGGCCTGAAGAGGTTAGGCCAAATGAGGTTTGGCCAGATGCAGTATGGCCATGTTTACCTTTGGCAAGCTTATTTTGTGGCTGTGGACATCCAGCGCTATGGCTTCGAGTACTTGACATCATAGGCCGTTATGCACTTTGGCGTTCTTACATATAGTAAGGAATGTGAACGAAGTGTGAAGTATGGCATAGCTGGCCTCCTGCATGCGCCCCTAATTTCTGCCCTCGCTTTTTATCACTTATTTAAAAGTTATTTTAGCGCAAAAAACGTAGAAAACAAAACATAACAAAAATATAAAATGAGCATAATTAAGTAATTTCCAAATTAGTTTTGTTTTCAATTAATACATGTACAATTTTTATTAAAATTCAAATATTCTTCTTTGAGCAGGTGTGTTTCAGCCCGACGACTGCTGGGCTTTTCTTGCTTGTTCCTGGGGACTTATTCTCTTGCGCATTTGTCCTAGTCTGACGTGAAGGATGAGAAAGCCACTTCAGACTTAGTATTGGCTTTTCGTCTCTTAGTCGAAGTGATGACTTTTTTCTATTCAAAAAAGGATAATACCACGGCCATTATTATTAATCTATCACTTACTTGCCAGTAAAATAAATGCTGATGATGGAGTTGTCCATGCCGTACACGCTCAGTTCTGGGGTGTAGTCGAAGAACTCGTAAGAAGCGCCAGCACAATTAGGTGCGGTGTACGCTTTAAGGTACCGTAAGTCCGGGATATCTGCGGAGTGTCTTAAGTTTTACTGATACATTTTGAGTATGTTATGTTTTACAATTTCAGGAGCGGTTTAAATTTGGGTACCTTTGATAAGATTTTCATCCAGCTTCGTACGTTATCTTTTGTGCAGCAGCGGAAAGATTCATAGCATTATTAATCCATTTAGAATGTAGAGTGGCGAAATATTTCTCCCGAAGCAGCCTGCAGCGATAGGGATGTAACCATCAAGAATTGCTGCAAGTTACGTTGCACTCCACGGCTATAGCCAGGGGCTCTCAATAATTAGAGGTTCTTCCGTTAATTATTGCGCTCTCAATAAAGATCTGCGGCCAACCACTATTACAAATTATTGAGGAACCTTTTAATAGATTAAACATGACACCTGAATTCAACGCAATCAAAGAACTTACAATCTTATTAACAGAGCTGGGCAGCGCTACTTTAAAATGTAGCGGCGCTACCGCTACCGCTACATGCTCTAAAATTTGGGTACCACTAGATTGTAGCGAGCGCTACCGCTACCGCTACAGCAAAATGTAGCGCCGCTACAATGGCCAAAATTATTGGAAATCTCTAAATATTTATTGTTCTGCTATTGGGATTTACTCATAAACATTTAATGATAATAAAACATTTTCAAAACATATCAATGCAACTTTATTGCAATTAACCTAACCGAACTAGTATGGGTTAGATACAGTAAATAAAAGTTACAGTTATTTTTATGTTTTACCTTCCCTGCATGGATGTGTACTTTATTCTACCAATCTAAAACATTATCCACATATATGTACAAATAACAGACTGATGTATATGTGGATAATTTTTGAGATTGGTAGATTAAAGTAGACATCCATGTAGGGAAGGTGAAACATAAAAATAACTATATAAAAATAACTAAGCAAACTGAAACATGAAAAAATACTTGTAAGTGGTAACTGGTAACAACTTAACAAGTAACAACTAACATGTTGACACTAGTAACAGGCTGAGGTTGACAACATTACACCGAAATCTTTCGTACAGTTTTATTCCGTAATTATTATTATGTATGTATCATGCTGGTTTTTAAATAATATTTAATACTATTAAGTAAAATCTAAAGGCTTTATCTATAAATGTAGCGGTAGCGCTGTAGCGGCAAAACTTTGTATCGCTACTTAAATATGTAGCGGGCGCTACTGCTACATTGCCTTAAATGTAGCGCCGCTACCGCTACATGTAGCGTGCTACTGCCCACCTCTGCTTATAAAGTATGTGTGGGTTGTGGTATATCTTTTCTTACCTGCAGCCTCGACGAAGAAGCAAGACAGCGCACCCACAAGGGTGGTCAGGACGTAAAACGAAGCTCCCATCTTCTTGGCCTTCGACCTGCAACAAACCTTGGCAGTCAGAGAGCAACTCCAGTGCCTTGTTATCAGCACCATTAGCACAGATAAAGGTTGCGTTCACGGCATTTACTCTGGCAATTTTCCTGATTCAACTAAGGATTTTATTTTGTGATCTTCATTCAGTTTCCTGAGGACAAGCCTCAGTTCGAACCTTCTTAATTTATTATATTCTTCTTCGTGGGCTTTAGTTAATCTAAAAAAAATTCAAACGTCTCCATCTGATTGTTTGATTTATGAGTGATAGTTACGGCTGATGTTTGAAGTTAGTGGGTAATACGTGGAGGAGGTTAGCTAGGTCTCTGGTGTCAAGACAAAGTCCCTCCTTACCTTAACCTGGGAAACTGAGCTCAAATAAATTACAAGTTCGTGCATTTTGTTCGTCATGATGATGGTCACCGACAGAGGTGGGCAGTAGCGCGCTACATGTAGCGGCCGCTACTAGCGGCCGCTACATTTTCAGTAGCGGTAGCGGCTCTACATTTAAGGCAATGTAGCGGTAGCGGTAGCGCCCGCTACATATTTAAGTAGCGATACGAGGTTTTGCCGCTACAGCGTATGCTACAATGTCGAGACACATATCATTCGATTTGTAACAACAATATCTAGCGACTGTAGAGCCCCGATTTTTGATTTTTCTCATCGTTTTTTTTCGCGTTCTTCCCATTTTTTCACATTTTTACCCCCCACCTTCCTCCCCCTCCCATATATAAGTCAAACCATGCACATATGAAAAAAAAGGTTCTAGTGTCGCTAGGTATTGTTTTTACAAATCGAATGGTATGTCTCTCATTGCCGTAGCTTGAAAACTGTAGGAGTTATGATTTTTTTAAGATGGCGTTTTTTAGATTTTTAAATTGTTCAGGGGAGCCAAATAAAGTAAAATTCATTGAAAACAGAAGAATATGCCCAAAAAGTCTTGATATTGTAGCCCAAGCTTTCCCATTGCCAATTATTTGCATTCAAGGTACCAGCACGCGTCTTTAGACTTATTTATGTTCAATTTAACGTGAATAATAGGCTATAAATGGGACTTTTTATATATAAATATATATATAAAATATTCATTTTACATAACTTTACAACTGCATTACGCAAAAACTATTGCATGAACATCCATGGTAGTAGCTTTGTTGAACGCGTCTCGTTTGTAGCTTTCAAACGAGTGCAAACACTTTGTAATTAACGAGAGTAATGATCTATATACAGATTTAATTCAAATAAATCTTTGTACATATTGTTAAAAAATGTTCATATATATATTTTTAAAATTGTCTTACGCAAAAATTATATCACGCACAGACATGCGGTAAACTGCGTAAGACGCGCCTTTTCAGCAGCTACAAAATGAGTCAAGAAAACAGTAAAGTCAAAATTTCCGATTTTTAGGGTAGCCGGTCCCCTTAATAGTATTAAATATTATTTAAAAACCAGCATGATACATACATAATATAAATTACAGAATAAAACTGTACGAAAGATTTCGGTGTAACGTTGTCAACCTCAGCCTGTTACTAGTGTCCACATTTTAGTTGTTACTTGTTAAGTTGTTACCAGTTACCACTTACAGGTTTTTTCATCTTTCAGTTTACTTACAGTTATTTTTACACAGTTATTTTTATGTTTCACCTTCCCTACATAAATGTCTAATTTAATCTACCAATCTCAAAAATAATTCACATATATATATACAAAAAAGACTGATTTTTATATGTATATGTGGATAATTTCTTAGATTGGTAGATTAAAGTTCACATCCATGTAGGGAAGGTAAAACATAAAATAAGTGTGACTTCTATTTACTGTATCTAACTCTGTGGTAACCCATACTAGTTCGGTTAGGTTAATTGCAGTAAAATTGCATTGATATGTTTTGAAAATGTTTTATTATCATTAAATGTTAATGAGTACAAGGCACCCAATAGCAGAACAATAAATATTTAGAGATTTCCAATCATTTTGGCCATTGTAGCGGCTAATGTAGCGCGCTACATTTTACTGTAGCGGTAGCGGTAGCGCCCGTTACAATTTAGTGGGTGTAGCGGTAGCGGTAGCGCCCGCTACATTTAGAGCATGTAGCGGTAGCGGTAGCGCCCGCTACATTTAGAGCATGTAGCGGTAGCGGTAGCGCCCGCTACATTTAGAGCATGTAGCGGTAGCGGTAGCGCCGCTACATTTCCAAGTAGCGCTGCCCAGCTCTGGTCACCGAGGACCAACCACTTGACTCACCATAAAGATAAAACTCAAGATCATCTTCGGTATCACTCAGGCAGAGAGCGGGGTCAGATAAATGAGGAAATCACATGATGATCGATATTTATATATTACCACGAGTGTTGCCTTTTTACGAAAACAGATATTCTCATCTTAAATGAACGAATGCAACAGGCTTTTATCACACAGTTGTTACAATTCTTCTTAACTTGACGGCAATAACTGAAAGACGTTCTCCCAAAGAGACGTATGTAGCTTGTATTAATTCAAACATTGTCTGGATCACGTCAATATTATTGCGCCTAAGAGATAAGGTAGATTTAAAACAGTGAAATTCAACCTTATAATTGAGTACATCCTACTGAATAGATGATTCAAATATATGGAAGCAATACGTAACTCACAAAACGGTAATTCCTGGAAGCACTGACTTAATGTGAATACCAGAGTTTTACTGTACTTCACCTCCATCCTCGTAGTTCTTGGCTGTAGCATCAATGAAGGTGAGGAGAGGAGTAAGACAGCATGGGTACTTAGACTTAGAGGAACAGGGAAGGTCGCAGCACCAGAGCGGGGTGGTTGGGGATTGGAACGATGCGTTGGCCGCGAGGTGGTGTCCATTCGCGGCTACTTGGCTGCCGCCGTTTGACGTAAGCTTCTCCTCGTTGTGATCTAACTTGAACTTACTGATCCACTACGCCATTACTGCGTATTAATCGCATTACTAAACTGGTTTCATATATTTTCTAAGTTATTTGTCTGGTGTCGATCGATGGAATGTGCTGATGGTGTTGTAGCGGATCTCTCACTATGTAGAACTTATTTTATGACTACCATACTTATTACATTTATATGAATAGTCCAGAGAGAATTCGCTTTCGTTGGCAGGCAACATTTCACTTCCGCTAAGCCCGTCTCTCTCTAACTTCCTCCCACGCTTAGAGCCCATTATTCTTCCTGCCGCTGTTCCGCTAACATCCCCTGGTAAGCTCCCTAACTAATAAACCGTGCCCATAGGATAGCTCATGTCTTCAGTTGTGCTGAGTGCAGTGTAGCGTAATAGATAAATCTAGAGACATTGCAAGGTTTTGTGTTAATCGATTTTGCCATGCCTTAAGCTCACGTGATAACTTGCTCACTCATCAAATGGTGTCGTGAATTAACGTAGTTCTGTTTCGCAGTGACCTCACATCGGCGATATAAGAATCATTCGAGCCTCGCAACGTGTAAACTCAACATCTCATGCCTGTATAATGACGCTCATCACGTGCCTATGTAACGACGCTCATCTCGTGCCTGCATGTGTAACGACGCTCATCTCGTGCCTGTGTAACGACGCTCATCTCGTGCCTGTGTAACGACGCTCATCGTGCCCTGGACTCGACAACGTGCCTCTGTAACTCAACATCACGTGCCTCTGTAACATCACCACGACAACGTCACGTCACGTCTCACCCCGCGTAGCCGCGTGCATCTCACCGAGCCGTCAGCACCTCGTGTTCACTACTGGTCCTGGTTCCATTTCCATTTCCGGGCCGTCGATTCCCGTCAGGGACTTGCCCCCCCCCTCCCAGGGCCCCACACCAGGCACGCCCTCTGGTGCCTCGCCATATTGGCGGCTGACAGCACCCTGTTGCATCCCGGGCACTGAGCGACCCTCCCCCTCCTGGCTCTCACCGGCTCCTCCCCCCCTCCCCCCACAACCACTTCAACGTCTCGTCCCCCAGCGTCCTCCCTCACACGCCCCCCTCCTGACCCTCCCCCTCCCCCTCCCGAATCTATCCCTCCCCCTTCCGACTTTCCCCGGCTCCTCCCCCCTTCCTCCCAACCGGCGCCAACGTCTCGTCCCCCAACACATCCCCTTACATGCCTCGCGTAATTTCCCTTCGTAATCCACGTATTGCACCTCCCGCACTGTCTCCTATCTCCCACTCCATCCGTACACGTCCTCGCATGATTCACTCTCGCACCCTCCGTCTCAACACTCATACCACGTTTGCTACACTCAAACCTCACTCGCTCCTCAGCTACTCTATGAATGCGCTACTGGTGGTTGGTCAGGCCCGCCTTACTTCGGCAGACCTTCCCATACCCCTCATATCTGCACACCCAGTCATTCATTATTCTAACATTCCTGTCCAGTCTCGCCACATTTGCATCCCAAGCGTACTCATGGCCTTTCTGACATTCCCATTCCTTCAAATGCTCAATGCGTTCTTTCACCATGACCTTCCATCCATCCCTTTCTCTGCTCAGCCGCTCCACATCAGTCCAGTCCACTCCCGCTTCCTTTAACATCCGCTTCCAGTACAAGACAGTCTTCCTCTTACGCCCTTGCATCTTCCCGAAACCTTTCAACCTCTCATACCATCCTAGTACCATCGCTTTCGTCAGCCTCTCATTTCCCATTCTCATATTATGTCCCACTCGCTCCAACACACTCTTCTCAATCTTCCATCTCACACTCTTTACACTCAAACACTTCCTCACATCCCACATGTTCACTCCTCTCCCTTGCATTTGCCTCAGAGGCGGGCCATTCTGATCACTCAACGCGTATCTATAACAATTATACATCCACTTTTGCAACCGATTCATATCCTTTACATACCACACTCTCGCCTGACAATCATACAGCAGACTACTCTCCACACATGCCTCCACCACCCTCGCCTGACACTTCTTAGACATTCTCGACCCTTTCAGCCACCCTTTCACTCTCCACCACAAACTTCCAGCTCTCTTGATCCTGTTATTCACATCCACT